TTTAGTCATTCCCTGATGAGTCGAAAACCTAAACCCTGATTTATTTTTTCTTCTTCACTTTCTTAAAAATATGTCTGTAATATTTAGTTTTTTTAAATGGTATTTTTTTTTTTACATTTCATGTTTTCAAACTATTTATTTTTTATTACTTAAACATTTTATAGATTTTATATTTTCTTTATACCGTACATTTTTTTTTCCTACTATTTTTCACTTTTATTGGCCTGCATCGATGTGAGCAACAACGTTCTTATTGGTCATCGTGTGCGTTAAGAGCGAGTGTTTGTATTGGGCTCGAAGTAAACAGAAACGCAATTTAGAAAGGATTACATTTGTGAAATCTGGAAAACAAAAAATTAGAAAAAAATGAATAAAAAATGAAATCTATAAAAAAATTTGAAAAAATCAATTTCATTACTAAAAATGCTAAATCCAATGCAACTTTCCATTTATTTTATTAATATAGCGCCAAATAACAACACATATCATCTCAAGGCACTTTACAATTCAACCAGATCATACAGTCAAATTGAAAAATATTAAAAAATATATTTGGAAAAAAAAATCTCAACAATAAATTTGAAACAAAAAAACATGTATTGAAATGACAAAATCTGAGAAAACAGCAACATGACAAAAAAAAAAAACTAGAAAATTTTTCAAGTTTCATTTTTAAAGATTGTTTTTTTTACTGTTCCATTAAAAACAATGTTTTTCCGTTTCAATTTGCATGTTTTTTTAAAGGCTTAGTTGGGCTACTGTATAAAGCCTGGAACTCAACTCTGACATTCTGACATTTTTAATTGAAAAAGCTTCCTGGATGGGAAGCGAAACGTCTTCAAACTTGGAAACAAAGTCCAGTGGATTATTTTTTTATTATTTTGCGATACTGCTGTATTACTCCTGACCAGCGGTAGCCTCTGCCCCTCACTCAGCGTTCTGTTTCCCGCGCTGATTTTTTCAATTTTCCTCTGTACTCCTTCGATCCTCCATAGTTAGCCTAGCTAGCCTGGGTCGGCCATAGCCTCTCTCCGTCCTTGCATTGTTTCCCTGGCAGGCTGTGGTTCCTCAGCTCCGGCATGGCTGGCCACCTCGTCCTGGTTATTCTCTCGGTGTTCTCACACTGATTCTCTGCTGCTTGTCTGAGCTCAGAATGCTGTCTCCCTTTACCTCTGTTGGATGATTCGTCCCCGTTTTGCGTCCTCTGACCAAAGCAAACATGGACCAAGTGTAGGAGAAAGATGCAAGTCCAATCAGAAAAAAACTCATCAGCAATGCAACGACCGGTTCTTTAATCTGTGGTCTTCATAATGACAGGCCAGCTGCTGTTCATGGCCGATCACGTGAAAACCGGACGATTATTACCTCCAACTGCTCCCTTTGCACATCTATACATTTGTGCAAGCAACTTTTGTAAATCACCTGCAACACACCCACTTATTGAATGTGCAAAAGAAAAAAAAGAATGTGCAATTTAGCGTCCTGCATTTGGAAACTATGAATACCAGGCTCTTTGTATCTTCAATTGAAAAGACACTGTATAACTGTTTAAAAATGATGGCTGAGATGATAAATCAGATTAATTAGGAGTGATTGCTTATTGAAACAATCATCAATCGTTACACAGACTAATGATACAGAGACTCTAAGGAGAATCTAGCAGTCATGTTTTTGGACTGTCGGAGGAACCTGGAGTACCCGGAGAAAACCCACGCATGCTCAGGGAGAACATGCAAAGTCCATGCAGAAAGACCCTGGGCCGGGAATGGAGCCCAGAACCTTCTTGCTGCAAGGCAGCAGTGCTACCCACTGCGCCACTGAATCACTGTATCAGTAAGAACAAAGCTCTAAAAATTTTTAACATGTTTTACACGTGTAATCACATTTCTTTTGCTGTTTACAGTTTGTTGTACATTTTGAATAACATGTGACCTCCATCAGTGACGCCATCTGAACCCTTGGCGATGCAGAAATATCCGCCTTAGAAGTATTTGGTTGGGATGTCTCAAAGTCTTTCCACAGTAATTCTTTAGGAATACTTTCCAGGACCTTGATGGGTTGGTGGATTTATAAACATGAACATTCTTGTGTGAACTCGCCAACCGTCACATGCTGTCCTCTTAAAGGAAGTCCCCAGCATCGGGGGGGTAGTTTAAAACTATAGGATTTCCTTATTTTTTTTATTACTCTATTTGTAAAGGTTTGCGTCCTTCTAGCTGATATTTTAAGGTCAGAAATAATTCCCATTATTCTTTTGCCTTGTCTGCTGACACGAGTATCGAGGATCACACTTTGACGGATGGCTGCTCTTCTCAGAGGATCGGCATGTAGGCTGCAGTAGTGAGGGTTACCTTCCTTTAGTTCTCTGTAAATTTTGATTAAAACAAGATTTTTTTGTTATAATGTAGTGGATGCAGTGCTTTCAAGAAAACCGATTAATGCGTTTATTTTTTACACGTGACATTAAAAACATGTATGGAGGATAAAAAGTGCCAAAATTAAATAAATAAATACAGCATTAAATAAATAATTAAATGTGTCAATAATTAATTAAATGTGGAATTAAATAAATAAATGTGTCATTCTTTAATTAAAACCACGTCACTAATATAAAGTGCCACAATTAAATAAATAAATACAGCGATAAACAATTAATTAAATGTGGAATTCATTACAAAAAATAAGGAATTAAATATATAAATGTGTCATTAATTTAATAAAATACGTCTTCATTTTATTAAAAAAATATATATAATTATTTCAGTGTGCATTTAATTATTTCAGTGCATCGAAACCATTAAAAGATTCTGTCAAACTCACCCATCAAAGTTAGGGGGCGGGGTTAACGTGAATCGAGTCTCTGTAATCGATTTGCTTCGCCTTAATGTGCAGGGTGACCAATCAGGTGTTAGATAACCGCCCCCTAACTTTGATGGGTGAGTTTGACAGATTCTTTTCATGGTTTTGATGTACTGCGACACAGGACCATGAAATAATTAAATGCACACTGAAATAATTATATATATATTTTTTTTAAATAAAATGAAGACTTATTTTATTAAATTAATGACACATTTATTAATTTAATTCCTTATTTATTTAATGAATTAGACATTTAATTAATTGTTTATCGCTGTATTTATTTATTTAATTGTGGCACTTTATATGAGTGACTTGGTTTTAATTAAAGAATGACACATTTATTTATTTAATTCCACATTTAATTAATTATTGACACATTTAATTATTTATTTAATGCTGTATTTATTTATTTAATTTTGGCACTTTTTATCCTCCATACTCACAATCCTCAATGCTTTATATCAGTATTATTAGTGAGTAGATCATTGTGTTTTTGAATAACAGTTCAGTCGCTATGAATCCAGCTGTTCACTTTCTTGCCTAAGATGTTTATCAGAGGACATTGATGAACAAAGAAGACCAAAGAATACAGCATGGAAAGAAGGAGCCAAAAGCGGAAGATATAAATCTAATTTAAATATAGTTTTTAATCAAAGTAAAAGTTTCTTAAAAGATGTGTATTTGCTCCTAATTGAAGCAGGTATTTACGGTAGTATGATCTGCCAATTTAATTGAAATGTTTTTTTTTTTAAAGAGAACTTAATTGCAGATCTACTATACAATAATTCTTCAGACTAATGTTTTAGTCTGTATTTGTTTCCATTACAACTGAAGAAAAAAACAACTTTTCAATCAGACGGAGAAAAAAAATGTATAAAAACCTGCGACCAGAGGTGGGAAGTAATTAGTTATACTTACTTGAGTAACTGCTTTTACTTTAGTAAAATATTTGGCTCCTCTGTCCACCGTGAGTAACTTTACTGCATACATGCAAGCTCTTTTTAAACTAAACTGCTTTAAATATATACATATTAAAGCATTATATATATATATATATATATATATATATATATATATATATATATATTTATAAGCAAAAAGTATAGTAATTTTATCAATTTTTGAAAATAAATATAATTTGTAAAAAAATGTTGTTACTTAATTCATTATTTTAAGTGTTTTTTGATGATATGATGAGGCCATTAATTTGCACAATTTAATTAACATATTTAGTATTTGAATAAATAAATGTTACATCTAATTGTTTGATTAGATTAGATTAGATTAGATTTATTGATCTCACAGCGGAGAAATTCACTGGTCACATATTGGCATAGAGGTCAAAGAAGGTGCAAACAAGGAGGAAAAACAATAAACAATATATATACAGTATTTCAAGATAAATAAGGATTAAGGTGCAAGTGTACATGTATCGCACACAATGAAACACAAAATAAAAGTAAGAAATAAAGAAATAAGAAATAAAAAATAATGGTACATGATGGTACATTTATGTTTTTCATTATATATTTTCGTCCTCCATAAACGCCAGAATTTACATAATGATTGTAAAAACCATCCTGGGGGTCCCGACCCCCCATTTGGGAACCCCTGTACATGTTAGGGTTAGGTATGCCAACTTTACACTGTTCTACCTTTTATACGTTACCTACTGTAAGCATTGGTTTCATAACTTTTATTTTGAAAAGGAAATTGATTTAGAATATTTTTTTTTTCAATCAAGATAAAACAATATCTTAACATTTCTTAACATCACATAATTTGATATAGTAAATCTTATTTAGGTAAGTTTTTCAATTGCAGCTAATTTACTTTTACTTTAGCTAAAATACGAAATAGTGTCCTAACTAAAAGAGTACATCTTTGGTTTATCCCTACCTAATTAAAGTTATATTGAATACCTGCATTAAGGTTAATTTTAAAAGCTGCTTTTATTAGACAAACAAACCTCATCTGAAGCTATTTTAAGTTATTATATTATATATAAGATTGAAGATTAAAATATCAGCTGTTAAGTAGCCTGTGTGGTTATTACATTCTACTATTTTACCTCTTTAGTCATAAAGTTCCCTTTAAAAAAAGGCCCAGGGTTGAAATTTTCTCTTCTTTTCTTCCAGCCGGCATCATGATTCCTGTTATGGAATTTCGTCAGTTCTCAGAACAGCAGCCGGCGTTCCGAGTCCTGAAGCCCTGGTGGGACGTGTTCACAGATTACCTGTCTGTGGTCATGCTAATGATTGGCGTGTTCGGATGCACTCTGCAGGTCTGAAAATGTATTTCTGTTTTCATCTAAACGTAGAACTAAAAACATCTCAGGAGTGAAGAGTTGCAGTTTTTTTTCTTGTTTTTTGTGTTGTTGTTTTTTCTCCATTCCAGCTGGATTGAATGGATGAATACGCAGGTAAACGCCTATAGGCTCCTTATTGGAACATGGCGGCCCTGCCCCCCTCCACTGGCACCAGCTCAAAAACACTGCTTGTGTTCTCTTACAGCCTGGCCCGTGTACAGCAAAGGGAAGCATTCAGTCCATCAGCAGTTTAGCTGTGGAAACATTCCCCACCCTGCCCCTTTCAGTAAACAGAGGATCCAAACCCCTGTGGACTGGCCCTTGACTTCTCGCTCTGTTTGGAACATTGCTTGGCTGCTATTAGCCCCATAGTGGAAACCCTGAACATCACTGCAAAAATATACATAAAAAAACTTCCTATTTATCTGGTTTTAAGCAGATATTGTTTTTCCCTCTCCTGCTCCGGCTTTTAGGGTTCAGTCTGAAAGCTTTGCAAATTAAGAGGACACTTATTCTTGTACTGATGTTTACTTTTTGGGGCAGAGCTGTATCAACATGCTGCTTTGTGTAATTACTTGTTATGTTCTGCTTGACAGTTAGCTAATTCATTTAGACTTTGAAGTAGAAACACTGATCTTACAAGGTTTTGGATGTTGACGGATCATCCCAGATTTGATCTAACTGACGTTTCAGGGCAGCTTCCTATATTTCGCTTTGGTCTTTAAACCATTACATTAAATTTCACAGTGGAACAGCGTGCCCTAAAGGCACCCATTCCCTTTTACTAGTGCTGTAAAGTGCCTGCTTCCTTTTCTTAGCATCTCTGTCCAGCATCTGTTTTTCATTACTTGTATTTCGAGTAAACAGCATGGGCATTTCTTGTCAAACATGTCTGCCTGTCAGTACAGTGCTAAGGAGACCATATTAAACTAATAATCTACAGACAATCTGATGCTGATGCATAGTCTACCTTGCAAAGTTATTGGTACCAGTTAAATTTTTCCATGTTTTGCAACTTTTAGTTATTCTGTTCTATTGGGCCATGTGTTAGATACTAAATTAGGTGAATAAAAATAATATCAACAAAATAAATAGAAAATAGGAGGTGGTCATTCCTTATGATATGCATTTGATATTGGGTATCCTGATCATTTCCTTCCAGCATTAAATCACTAAATGTTTTTTTTTGACTCATTGGATTTAGGGTTGAAAGATAATTTAAACATTTTGATAATTTTTCCTGCAGTTTTTGCAGAATTCTGCCAACAGGGCACAATTCAATTCAGTTTATTTCTATAGCGCCAATTCACAACGCGTCATCTCAAGGCACTTTACAGTTCAACCAGATCATACAGTCAAATTGATACAAAGTTCTCTATCTGAGCAAAACCAGCTTGCATCGACTCTTTGATGTAAGTAATCCCTCCCACTAAGCATGCTTGTAGTGACAGTGGAGAGAAAAAACTCCCTTTCAACAGGAAGAAACCTCCAGCAGAACCAGGCTCAGTGTGAGCGGCCATCTACTAAGGCCAACGGGGGTTTTAAGGAGACAGAAGCAGACATAGAAAAGGAGGCATAGATACAAAAGGCAACTGTCAACCAGCTCCACAGGCGGCCCCGTCCAAAAAACAAACAGCCAGGCAGACGAGCTCTGAGCCAGCTGCCATGTCAGAGGATGAAGAGAGCACATCCAGTTAGTCACAGTCAAAGAAACAGGACTACACTGGAAAACAGGCCAAGCTCCAACATCTAGAAACAAAGGTGTTGATGGCAGCAGCACAGCTGATATTTCTCCCCAGGATGGAGTCACAGCCAAACAGGAGCAGACCAGATGAAGCTACTATGAGAAAAAGCAAAGAGACCCTAGTATTAGAGATCGAACTAACAAAAGTGGGAGAATAGAGATAGAATGAAGCAGAATGATGAAAAAGGGGTCCCTATGTCCTCCAGCAGTCTAAGCCTATAGCAGCAGAACTATAGAGATAGCTCATGATAACCTGAGCCACTCTAACTAGAAGCTTTGTCAAAAAGGAAAGTTTTAAGCCTAGCCTTAAAAGTAGACAGGGTGTCTGCCTCACGGACTAAAACTGGTAGTTGGTTCCACAGGAGAGGAGCCTGATAAATATGCACAATACATACTCTCACCTGCAGTTCTGTTAAAAATGTGCACATGTAAACTACTTTCATTGATTCTCTTCTCATTTTGATCATTTTATGCAGGCAGATTCGGTACCATGAGTCTTCCAATATGTCACAATGATTAGTTCATGCTCCTTCTCTGCACCCTCTTGCTTCCTAGATTACCCCCTACTGGAGTGTGGACCTGTTGTTATGCACTTATGTTAACTTTTGTCAGTTTGAGGGTGGAACAGACCAAAGAAGCAAACTCCCTGTGATTGCCTTCTTTTCAAGAAATCCCCATCTCTTGAGACAGCACTTTGTTCTTCCTGGTTGTGGCTAGTAACATTAGCAAAGCATCCTTTGGCTAATAGCTCTTCTCTTCAAGAGTTGAATTCTGAATTCCAACAGCCATCTCTGTCATCAACTGACAATTTTATAAACACCAACATGGACATAAAAAGGAAAATGCTTAACAGTAGCTGTAAAATACGTAGAAATGTAAATATATGTGTTGTTAATTTAAGCCTCATTTTGCTCAATACAAACAGGGAGGCTAATTGGGAGGGATTTCCTGAAAGGTAGCAAATTAATGCGGTTAACTTTCTCAGGTTGGTTCCTCCCTCAAAGTGAAAAAAGTTTATATGAGCGCACAAAAACAGATCCACAGTTGATAGGAGAAAATCCACAGGCATTGTTGTGCCAGGTCATTCATGTGGTAAATTAAGCCACAATCCTGCACAATAGAACCTCATATTTCCCTCTCTAAATGTGTGATCATAATATATAGAAAGGAATGGAAAATACTGGATGCAGTCAAGTTATACTGGATGTGAAGTGAAGCCTTTATGTAGCTAAATTACACAGAACTTCAGAAACATTCAGCAGAAACTTTCTGCTGAAAAGATCTGGATCAAAACGATTTATTCCGTTCCTCATTCAGTAGCAGATATTTCCCAAGATAGCTCGGATGCTTTAACTCCATGTGTGGCTTTAAATTTGAAGTGGATGTGGCTGACGTACGGACTTGTTTGTTAAGTCCTGGTGTTTCTTCTTCTGTCCGAGTCTTCTTCTGTGAATTCGTAAAACTCTGCCAAGCTCCTTGCTAAACTGGCATCAGAAATACCAGCAGATGAGTCTGAATGGAGGAGAGTAGTGCTAGCAGTAGACATGCTCGTCTGTCAGCGTGGTTTGGTTTGGTTTGTCGTAAAGGGTGCTGTAAAACCTGACCAATGAAAATTGTTATCAACTAAACATGAGTTGTGTGTGTGGCTCATTATTGTTAGAGTGAAGGTCGCTCTCATTCTCGTTCATTACTTAAAAACTGATCCGTTTAGTTCACAGTTCACTAAAAATAGGATTGCATTCAGTGAATGCTGTTCATTGCACAACACTGTCTACAGGAGCATGAAAAGCAAGGAGCATGGACTAATGGTTGGGATATATTAGGAGCCACATGGCATCGTCAATCTGCATGGAGAGAATGTTCAGAATGCATGCTCGCACAGGGAGAAATTGCAAAGTCAATGCACAAATACTCCAGGCAAGGAATCTGACCCAGGACCTTCTTTTGCAATGCTATAAACTGTGCCACTGTGCAGCTCATCCAAACTCACCAAGTTAAGTTGCAGAATTATTACCTTGCTAGTTAGTCTTTTATGTTGTTTCTGTAGATACAATTGGTTTATATGCTGACATATTACCTTTTTCCTTACATTTTGTTGCAGGTAATGCAAGACAAGATCATATGCCTTCCTCACAGAATCTCATCCGGCTCAGAAAACATTTGTGAAGTAAATAGGAGCTTAGTCCTTCAACGGCAGTTCAATGCTTCAGATATGCTGAGAGAAATGAGAGGGGTAAAAACTGATCTGGATCTTCAGCAGTACAGTTTTATTAATCAGATGTGCTATGAGAAAGCTCTACACTGGTATGCCAAGTACTTCCCCTATTTGGTTCTAATGCACACACTGGTCTTCATGGTGTGTAGCAACTTCTGGTTTAAATTTCCCGGCTCAAGTTCAAAAATAGAGCACTTCATCTCAATGCTCGGCAAGTGTTTTGATTCCCCCTGGACAACGCGTGCATTGTCTGAGGTGTCTGGAGAGAATCCGGAAGAAAAGGACCAGAAAAAGAGTACAACATCTCGGTCCAGCAATGCGTTGTCGCCTGAAGAAAGCAGCCTTGAGAAAACGCAGTCCCTTCGGTCTATTCCCGAGAAGATTGTGGTGGACAAGCCATCAGCAAGTGTCCTTGATAAAAAAGAGGGCGAGCAAGCTAAGGCTCTTTTTGAAAAGGTAAAGAAATTCCGACTACACGTAGAGGAAGGAGATATCCTCTATCTTATGTATGTTCGTCAGACTGTATTCAAGGTGCTGAAATTCCTTGTGATCATTGCCTACAACAGCTTCCTCGTAGAGAAAGTACAGAACGAAGTGTGTTGTGAAGTCAAGGAAATCCAGGATGTTACCGGATATACAGTCTTTGAATGTAATCACAACATGGCTCATCTGTTTTCCAAGCTGTCTTACTGTTATCTGTTTTTGGTGGCTGTCTATGGCTTCACAAGCCTCTATACCTCCTACTGGCTGTTTTACCGCTCACTTAAAGAGTATTCCTTCGAGTATGTGCGTCACGAAACTGGCATCAGTGACATCCCAGACGTCAAAAACGACTTTGCCTTCATGTTGCACATGATTGATCAGTACGATCCGCTGTATTCCAAGCGCTTTGCTGTTTTTTTATCAGAGGTCAGTGAGAACAAACTGAAGCAACTCAATCTGAACCACGAGTGGACCCCAGAGAAATTGCGTCAGAGACTCCAGATGAACCCAAATAACAGACTCGAACTTCAGTTGTTCATGCTACCTGGCTTGCCCGACACTGTCTTTGAATTGACAGAGCTGCAGTCGCTCAAGCTCGAGATCATCAATAACGTGACAATCTCTGCATCTATCTCTCAGCTGGAAAACCTCCAGGAGCTCTCTCTCTACCAGTGCTCCTTAAAGCTGCACCCAAGTGCTACTTCTTTCCTCAAAGAGAACCTAAAAGTGCTTCGAGTGAAATTCGATGAGAACAGGGAACTTCCAAATTGGGTGTATGTTCTGCGTAACCTAGAGGAACTCTACCTCTCTGGATCACTCAGTCCTGATGCCTCAAAGAATATAGTTCTTGAGTCCCTTCGTGAGCTGAAGTGTCTGAAAACTCTCTACCTTAAGAGCAATTTGACAAAGATCCCCCAGTCAATCGTGGATGTGTCCAGCCATCTACAGCGTCTTTACCTGCACAACGATGGCACAAGGCTAGTAATGCTAAACAACCTGAAGAAAATGACTAGCCTTGTTGAGTTGGAGCTTGTGCGTTGCGACCTTGAACGCATCCCGCATGGAATTTTTAGCTTGACAAGTCTGCAGGAGATTGACCTAAAAGAGAACAACCTTCGATCTATTGAGGAGATTGTCAGCTTCCAGCATCTCCGAAAGCTCATTTGTCTCAAGCTTTGGCACAATAGCATCATGTACATCCCTGAGCATATCAAAAAGCTCAGCAGCCTGGAACGTCTTTACTTCAGCCACAACAAGATCGAGATCCTGCCCTCGCATCTGTTCTTGTGTAACAAGTTGCGCTACCTTGATCTATCCAACAATGACATCCGATTCATCCCTCCTGAAATAGGAGTACTGCAGAGTCTGCAGTACTTCTCTGTCACATGTAACAAACTTGAAAACCTTCCAGATGAACTGTTCTTTTGCAAAAAGCTCAAAACATTAAAGCTTGGCAAGAACTCGTTATCCATCTTATCACCAAAGATTTCGTATCTCAGTCTGCTAACCCACTTGGAGCTAAAAGGAAACCATTTTGAGTTCCTGCCACAAGAGCTTGGGTGTTGTTGTGCTTTGAAGCGCAGCGGCCTTATAGTGGAAGAGACACTGTTTGAAACTCTGCCATCAGATGTAAGGGACCAAATGAAGGCAGAGTAATGTGCCTTATTGTAGCCCCAGTGACTGCTGATTGTCCTGGGAATTCAGAGTATTCTTTTTTTATATTTTATGATGTCAAAATTTTGCCAAAATATGACAAATATTAATATGAGCAGTTTTATTAAAAAAAAACATGCAAGTAAACTACTCTCGACATGCATTTTTGATAATTTTGTTAGATTCAATACCATGATATGTCACAAGCATGTGCTCATGGTCCTTCACTGCGCTCCTGCTTTGCTTTTTATGCGCCCGTAGATTTTTTCTTACTAGACCTGTTTCTGTGTGCTCAAGTCAAGTTGTCTCTCTTTAAGGTTGCAATCGACCTGAAAAAGTTAACTGCCTGTGAGTGGCTACTTTTCAGAACATCCCACCCCTTGAGACAGTGGTGTAATGTTTTTTTCCTAGTTGTTGATAGTAACGTTAGCTAAGCATCTTCAGGCTGATTGCTGTTTCCTTCAAGAGTTAATAGGAAGTTATTATTAAATAACCTAATTCTAAACAGCCATGAATGTGTTATGACAGCAATGTTTGACTAAAATGGGACAAAATCAGGCACACCAAACATCCAATTTTCAACAACTAATTCTGGACTAAATCCGGGCTTTGATGAAACGACCAGATTTAGCCTAAAAATGACGTCTGGTGTTTGAACTCTATATGAGCTAAGCTATCGTTAGCCTCACTGTTAATACTGTCTAAACCAAACATTTACATCTCTATAATCAGTTTGGAGCTACTGTTAAACGTTTTTTTCCTGTTATGTCGGGCATATTGTGTTTATAAAGTTGTCAGTTGACTACATTAATGGCTTTCACTACCCGATCTTTTGTGCGCATGCATAGACAAAATAATACGATCCGGATTGCTGAAAAACTACGTGATATCAGTACTGAAAATACTTATTTATATACTTAAAACATTAAAGAATGCTAAACTACATTTTATAGAAAATATTGAAGACTTTTCTTCCAGAAAAGTCTCCATTGACATCATCGAACATACTCGGAGCAGTCACAGTAATGTTCGAAAGGCTATTTAAGTGTATTGCTTTTTTTCGTTTTTAGAATATGAAATATTTACACAAATACAATATTATTCAACAGGAACCCCCCGCCAGAAAAAGACAAAATAATTAAAAAGTAAGAAAAATTAAGTATTGCATACCGGGAAGTTATTCTGGTTGCGCATGTGCAAAACGGATCGTACTTCCGGGACGGATCGGGTAGTGACAAGAACTGTTGGAAATGAAGACAGTATTCTGCTTGTTAAAGAACAGCTATTAGTCGAAGAATGCTTTTCTAACTATATATTCTAGCCCCAAAGAAGAGAGGCAGGATTTCCTGAGAAATAGCTAATCACAGGTGGTTTACTTTCTCAAGTTGGTTCATCCCTAAAAGTTACAGAAGTTGACATGAGCGACGGAAACAGGTCGACACATGATTAGAAGTAGATGGCGAGCATGAACTCATGCTTCTGACATACTGGAGGCTTGTAATAGTGAATCTGCACACAGAAATGTTCAAATGAGCATGTATACAGTAGCAGCCATTTAAAATGGCCCTTCCCAGTCAAACGCCAGCCAATGGAAGCCTGCTTCCCTGCATCTCCCAGCAAAATCCCCTCCAACTTCCAGCCACTGGCCCCCTCCTGGGCATGCACATTTTTTTACTCTGCCTCCACCCTTTCACTGAATTACAGGGTCTGACCAGGAGATGATGCTTTTCTAAAGATCTCAATGTCCACAAATCATGACAGAAATAATATTTTAGTGCAAAGATTGATGTTTAAAAAGGAATTGTAGGGGACCAGCCAACGGCCCATCAAGGAAAGTGGGGAAATTTTGAATAGCTCTACTGTAGTAGTATGTTTGTGATTCCAAAAAAGAATCCACTGAAAGTTTTTTCCAAGTTTGAAGACGTTCCGCTTCCCATCCAGGAAGCTTTTTTCAATTCAAAATGTCAGAAATAGCGTTGAGTTTGAGGTTTTATACAGTAGCCCAACAAAGCCTTGTTTTTGTTTTCAAAACTTGCCGATTGGAATTACACAATGTGGCATTGCAGGTTAACAAACGAAGCCAAACGACCCCCATTCCAAAGGGGTGGATCCGTTCGTCCGTTCCAAATTTGCACGTTTGTGTTTTAAATAAAACTGCATCTATGGGCCTTTAGTATGCATGTACACTTTTGGCAGAATTAGACATTCTAAATCCTATTTCACTGCTTTTAAGAAACTTTATATAATTGTCATACTTAGTATGGCGGGCACAGGGACACATTTCTATCCACCTTATGTGGAACACAGGGACAAAGATAATAGTATAAATTTCTTTGCTGCAGTGGTTAAACTTCCTTCAGTGAATGTAGTAATATGGTCGCTGTCCATTAAATATTAATTAGTCACTAAAAGGGCTTATAGTTTTCAGATCGGGTAAACCATCAAATGGTTCTATTGTATCATAGATGCGTTATTCTTCTTATTAAGGCATTAAATATGCATATTTCTTAAACTATGAAATGTTCTTCCATTATTTATTGTCATGCCTGCCTGTTTTTTTTTTTTTTTTTTTTTTTGGTGAAATGTCATTTTAACCTGAGAACTAAATTTGCTGCAAATGGGGTAAACATAGGCTAGGGTTACTCCAGGGTCACTCAACAGTCTTTGAACTTAGTAAAAGGTTCTGTTCAAGTATTTCTTAGTATATATAGATCTGGAAAAAGCTAGGAGAGAAAAAAATACATGATTGTAAGATTTTCATTGTTTTACTGTTTACATGAAAAATACCTGATCATTCATTTTCAGGGTTTTATCATTTGTTTTTGATAAACTATGCAATACCGTCCATCCATCCATCCATCCATCCATCCATCCATCCATCATCACTAGGGATGGAACGGTTTATGAAAACCGTCCGAACCGTTCGGTTCGACTGTCTCGGTTCGGTTCGCGTGTGTTGCGTTCGGTTCATGCGCTGCTCCTTTTTCTCATAGGTGAAGCGTTTACATTCCAGAGCAGAAGGTGGCCGTACTGCGACCAAAGCCAACCACCAGTAGTAAACAAGAAGAAGAAGCGAAGCAGCGTAGCCGGGTGTAGCAGAAAAAAATCAGTTGTTGTGGAGAATTGTGTGGGTATGGCGAGTGGGAAAGAACAGGAGTTGGAAGACGCGCCAGCAGCACTTTATAGGTCTGCTGTATGGGACCACTTTGCATTTAGAGTGACCTACCATGACGGCGGAAAGAAAGCTGTGGATGAAAGTGCAACAGTGTGCAAGCCTTGTGCAACACGTTTTGTTTACGCTAACAGCAACATGACCAACATGTCATGCTAACCCCGAAATCCCTCATACTCCATCAGCGCTCCGCCCCGCTGCGCTCCAGACCGCCTGCACAAAGCAAAGCCTACAGCCTCCACTGCGGCTCCCGTCCGCTCCGCTCTGAGTCCCTTGCAGATCGTAGAGGGCATGCGCCAGATGATTAAATTCAAAGCAGCAAAACATGCGGAAATGATCCATGGTATCCGCGGATCATTAAAAATAATTACAATTCATTAATTTTTTTGGATTTTTTCATTAATTTCATTATTTATTTATTTTTTTTTATTTATTTTTATTTATTTTTTTTTTTTTCGGTGTAACAACAAACATATACCGAACCGAAAACCGTGACCACGAAACCATGAACCGAACCGTGGATTTTGTGAACCGTTCCAGCCCTAATAATCACTGACCTCCATTGATTGTTCAAATCTTTTCCTACCAAATCCAATTAATCTTTAAATTAATCTTCACCCTACTGATGGTGGTCAGAGGGCCTGTTGCCACCAGTGTACGGCAGCCTTTCTTCTGTCAGTGAGCCCCAGGGCAGCTGTTGCTACACTGCAGCTTGCCACCATCAGTTTGTGAGTCTGTGGGTGAATAACTGAATGTGGTGCAATGCACTTTGGTCAAGTTTCCTGACTTGGAAAAAAACACTTTTTACAGGCAATTTACCATTAATACCATTTACTAAAAACAAGGTTGAATAATGTTTAAGCAATATAAAAACAAAATTTGACAAGGAAATTACTTTTTAATTAAAGATACTGTATATGTTCATAAATGAAATGTAAAATCCATGCTCTCATCATAACACCTCTACTTAAAAAAACTTTAAGTTTTTCTAAACTGCTCTAAATTAACTAATTAATTTACTTTATATAGTTCTACAATCTTTTAGACGAACAGTTATTTGAGATATTTTTGTGACGTAGGCAGATAATGGTGATGTCTAATTGGATTAGGTCTACCTTGCATTTCCAGTCAGCTTTCGGTTGAATGTACAACCTTCTAAAAATGGTCTTACATGTATTTTGTATAAATATTTCAATTTTTCTCGACCCTCACATTTTTATTTTTTTTTTTGGACTGATTTAATGATGTCTGATTCTCCAACCAGATAATGAAAAAAGCAGTTTAAAGTGTATTCCTTGTTTTTTATGTTTCATTGAAGTGCAAATTAGTTCATATTCAGCTTTTTGTTACACTTAATAAAACTTTACTTTCCTATTTCCTATATTGGGTTTTTGGTATTGTCTTACTCATCTCTCATTTTTTCCGCCATGTAGGTACTGTTGCGAATTGATGATGTAATGCTTTACTGTAGGGTCCTGTCCCACCTTGCTGATTTAGCCAGCGTATCCCCAACGTCCGAGAATCTCCTAATACGCTGGCATACGTTGGACATTCTATGTATTTTTTCAACTTAGGGCATATACATGGAGTATTCATAACGAGTCCACAACTTATGTCCAACGACAGCCTAGCTTATGCATAACACATGGCAGCATAATGCCCATGAAATTATGCATAAGTGTCCTGAGCGGGGTTGTGATTATTGTTGCACCAATACCAGTATCCGGTGGGGCGCCGATCCAGCAATAAATGGTGGCATTGGTATTGGAGAGTAACGACAAATAGGGCGCCGATACCATTTTGAGAGCCAAAAGTGTATTCATCTATTCACCCATTGCTGTTTACCTCCTGCCAAAAAACAAAGAAAAAAGAAAGAAAAGATTTTGGTTGCAGCAGATTCAGGATCATGTCTGGTAGGAACTGTGTTGGTGGTGGGCGTGAACGCAGGGAGGATCCATCACACTCACCTTCTGGCTCACCCTATGATGGGGATGAAGTCTGGAGGAGAACTGACGGTTTCCTCCTGTGATCCCCCTTTATACCAAAACGCTGCCAATACGCCATTATACAGTAGCTGGAAGTTAGAAACACGTTCAGCGCTCGTCTGGAACACGTCAGATACGCTGATATGCGTTGGAGAGAAGTTCTTGAAAAGTTCCGTATCCGTTATGCACAACTTACTCATAAATTTAGGATAAGCTAGACGCCACGACTTATGAGTAACTGACACTTAATGTATGTCAACGATCAGATAACTGACCTTTAACTCATGACCCACGTATGAGCATACGCTGGCATGCTACGTGTGCCAGCATGCCTCAGCGTTCTCATAACTTATACAAAACATACCCATAAGTTATCCAACGTTTTTGCCTGATTTTCTGTACGTCAGGAATCCCCTGGTTTAATCATCTTGAGGCGGCTGCAGTGCAGGATCTGGAGTTAACCCGACTCCGCCAGATGGATTTGCTCCGCATATCCATCTGGAAACCTTCCGTTGAAGTAATTTTGGGAAGGGGCGAAAATACTGGTTAGCTGATTGGCCTATGTTGGTGATAGACGGGTCAAATAAACCAATCAGATCAACGAAGCATATGACGTACTAACAGAGCGACGACGAAAACACAACCACAAGCCAGGCTACTCTTGCCGAAACCAGTCGGGAGAAGAGCAAAAACATCTTTTCCTCTGAGAAAAGCCTCCAGAGCAGTGTTTTGCTCTTCTGTCAGTGAAGAAATACTCTGTTATTCCGATAAAACTTGCTCGATAGCCACGCTAACGCTAGTTTCATCGGCTGAAGCCGCCATGTTCTTTAGACTGAACTGTCGCGCTTCTCGTTGCGTCACACCTCAACCCGCCTCAAAGCCAACGCTGATTGGACGTTCATTTGGTGAACGGCTCAAAATTTTCTTTAACGGAGAGTCTCCAGACTGATCTGCGAGTGAAACCTTGAAAGCTCGCAAGATCAGGATGGTCTCACGAGGCTAATCTGGAGTATCCTTCATGTTCCTTCAATGCAGATTTGGTCAGCTCGAACAACAATGGTGAATGACTGTGGCGAAAAAAAATGGTTAAAATTAATATAGTTACCTTTATATAAGCCAAAATATGTTGTTTTTAGGTAAAGATGTAGCTTTGTTAAATACAAATATCTGCCTAGATGGGTACGAAAAAAAAAAAAAAAAATAAAAGAGCTCCATCGTTTCGTTTCCTGGGTACTGACTTTTTTTCCTTAAAAATAACAAATTTTTTCCTGAGACCTGAGATATGATAACATTTTTATTTATTTTTTTCTGAGAACTGAGGGGGTCCTAAAATGTCCACCATACTGCACAGTCATCCTTTTCCTTACACTCATTTCGGCTACTTTGAAAACAAGATAATACCTTTGATTATTTTATCTCTAAAATGCCTTTTTATAGACTAGTCATGGTTTTCATTCTCTTATAATAAACAATAAAAGATAACATAAAGCACACTTGTTTGTTTAGCTGACATTTTGAATGCAGTGAGCAGTTTATATTCTTCTTTTCATATTATTTCATGATACATACATAAAATGAGCCTGTATATAAGGATATATTTGTTTTTTTTAATATATTTTGTGTTAAAGGCACAGGCAGAAAATGTGTCTTGTATAAAAACAAAGAGTAGTAACAGATGCATATGATTTTCTTACGCAATAAATTGTTGGTATGTGGTAAAGTAATCACCTTTATCTTATCATCACCAGTGTTGCCTAAGAACAGATGATTGGAGCCGTTTTTTATAGAAATAGAAAATAAGCTTTGAGTTCACGTTAAACTGAGCGCTTATAATTTGAGGACGGTCCCTAACTTCTGCAGGCCATCTCTATCTTTACCGTCAATCGGAGCGGCGGATTAGCGCGCGCTAGGTGCGCGGATTAACCAGCTTTCTGCGCGTGACCATGAATGTGCGGTCCTGACAGATCATACTGCGGGTCACCATCGATTCGGAAACTGACGCATCCATCCGGGTCCACCGCTCCGTGGAGGGCAGAGGACCCGACCATCTGCGGCGCAGAGAGGGGAGGTAAGCCGCTTATAGGGAACCGCAAACGGGCCTGCTGTCGGAACCATGCGAAGAAAGGACGGATTCCTGTTTTCAGAGAGGATTGATCTGTGAAATGAGGCTTTGTTCCTAACAGCTGGAGTCCAAATAACGGTACCAGCCCCCCTGAAGGTGAGCAGAGTGGACGGAGGTCCTTATTTTCCTTTGTTAATGTCTATTAATAGACCTGCTGTGGGTCTGGTTCTTATAGAGGTATGGTGTTTATTACACACGATAGGCTGTCAATTTAAACTTCAATCAGTGGTTTAGATGATGTGAGCAGGTTGTTTGTTTATAAGAACTGTGGTTAGCCCCGCCTCCTGTTCTGCGTCTATTATAACCTTTATAATAGACGCATTATAACCTTTAAAACGCTATTAATGTGGTTCTGGAATCAGAATTAATCTCCTTTGCCTCCATCGATGGGTTCATTAGGCAGCTGAGACAGCTGATGGCGCAGCCGGCCCAAGGCATAAGGGAAACAAGCTCCTATTTCTGACTCTGGAGCTAAACGGAAACAGCAACGCTCCAAATGTTAAGCAGAATAAATCAAAAGAAAACTCAAAAAGAACATTAATACGTTTTTGGAGTGAATTTTGTTCCATTGTTCTAAGACAAATATATGTTTTAAAATTGGGGATTCGAAGAAAAAAAGCCATCCGGAAATGAAACTTCTTATTAAAAACAAGGTGTGGAGAGTAACTTAGCTTTTTTTTCTCAGTTAGTAGTTTGAACAATTCTTTTTAAAATGATTTCAAAAAATATTTTTTTTATATTATTTAAAATGTATTTAGTTTGGGATTTTTTTGTTAAGTATAGAGACTATATTTCCAAATTTTATTTTTGAATATATATATATATATATATATATATATATATATGTATAGGCATCCAGAAATTAGCATCTGAAATAACTTAAGCGTTTTCATATATAGCCTACATATAAACGCTAACTTTCTCACTATATATATATATATATATATATATATATATATATATATATATATATATATATATATATATGAAAATGCTAATTTTCTCAATTTGACAAATTTTTTTCACTTAAATTATTTCAGATGCTAATTTCTGGATGGCCTTTTTAACAATTTCTATTTACCATTTAATTATTGTCAATAATGGAACAAAATCAAATCCATCCTCATACACTCTTCAGACCAGTTCTGCATAATGTACATAATTATCATAATTTATGGGCTTCTAATAAATAATTTAATACATTAAAGTCTAATTTATCTTGGTTGATTAAATGACTGGATGACCTGTCATACTGTCAAATTTTTGCCTCATGGGTTTAAATATATATATATATATATATATATATACACCCTCACTTATATGGGGTTACTTTTTTCTAGCCTTCAAAAAGCTTCTGGCTTACAATGTTCATATGCCTGAGATCCAGTGTTTAGATCCGTTCTTGATGTCAGTTGTTTCCAAAGAAAATGTTACTAAGAGCAAAACATGGTAGATGTAGCATCATAGTGAGGCTCTTTATTGCGACCAGAGGCAAAACTCCTAAAATAAACCTGAAAGCATCAAACTTTGAGGACATTTGACATACAGCTGGTGTAAATGTACATGAGCTTCTATGCTTAGTTTTAAGCATTGTGTATATTACCAAAAAAGTCACTGAATGTTATTTATGCACCCATATTTTTAATAATCAAAGCTATGTCCTGTCATACTGATATGACCTCAACACGACAGTTTATGAAAAGAACTAAAGGGAAATACACAGTATTTACACTTTTGAGCAGAATTCAGTGACATGCAGCATTTAAATAGGTCATCCTGAAGGGAACAACACCGGCCTTCTCACAGCTATTTAAAAAGCATTCATTTTAGAATGCTGGCAGTCTATATTCTATTTAAACACTCTCAGCATTTAAGACCATAATTATCACTGTGATGTCATGGAGGGTAGAATGAGACTTATCCCCTGTTCATTAAATTTCTGCAATATGGTGTTTACCTCCCAGTCGCTGTTCCAGGAGCAAATTCTTGGTGGTAAACAAGGGAGAGGCTGCAGCAACCTGTGATTAAGAGAAAAATGTCTGCAAGTAGCTCAGCTGGTATTTTAGTTAGCTGTGATACCAAGCACCTTTTTTAGATCCATAATTGGGTAGGTTTGAGTACCCAATTTGAATAATTCAGCTGCATATTTTCTTATTAATTCATTTCAGTCAAATAACTTGCATCCCTTCTTTTTTGCAGGAATGTTCACTCTCACAGAAGTAGCCTCTCTGAATGATATCCAGCCAACCTATAGGATACTGAAACCATGGTGGGACGTCTTCATGGATTACCTTGGTATCGTGATGCTGATGTTGGCCATATTTTCTGGAACCATGCAGTTGACGAAGGACCAGGTCGTTTGCCTTCCCATCTTAGAGCAAACGCAAGATGGATCAGGGGGTTTCTTGGAAACTCAAATGCCAGAGCCAGGGGAGGGTTTCTGGAACAAAGAAAATGCAATTGGGGAACAAGCCGCGCCTCTGATGTCTAAACGGCCTCCCAAAGGCATAGTCCCTTCAAGTCCTTTTCCACAGTCGGCTGCTTTCATGCCACCACAGCCTAAAGGTGTTAGAACCAAGCTGGATTTTCAGCAGTATGTTTTTGTCAACCAGATGTGCTACCATGTTGCTCTTCCTTGGTATTCGAAATATTTCCCTTACCTTGCTTTAATACATACTATCGTGTTGATGGTCAGCAGCAACTTTTGGTTCAAATACCCAAAGACAAGTTCAAAAGTTGAACATTTTGTTTCCATACTTGGAAAATGCTTCGAGTCCCCTTGGACTACTAAAGCTCTGTCTGAGACTGCATGCGAGGACTCAGAGGAGAATAAGCAGAGGCTGGCCGGAGCCTCAACTCTTCTGAAACATCTGTCCACAAGCAGCGAGGATGGCAGTCCCAATCAGTCAGCCCCAGTGGGAAGCAAGTCCGGAGTCGCCTTTTCTGTCGAAAGGCTTGTGAGTGAAATTCCTTCCATGACCATACTGGACAAAAAGGACGGGGAGCAAGCCAAAGCCCTGTTTGAGAAGGTCCGGAAGTTCCGTGCACACGTAGAAGACAGCGATTTGATATACAGACTCTATGCCATTCAGACAGTCATTAAAACCGTGAAATTTATTTTGATCCTGTGCTACACTATGACATTTGTGGCATCTATAGATTTTGACCATGTGTGTGAACCGGAAATAAAGCATTTGACTGGATATTCAAAGTTTCACTGCACCCACAACATGGCATTCATGTTGAAGAAACTCCTCGTCTGTTATATTGCACTCATCTGTGTTTATGGCGTTATCTGCATATACACATTGTTCTGGCTGTTTCGCCGACCGCTGAAGGAGTATTCCTTTGAAAAGGTCAGAGAGGAAAGCAGTTTCAGTGACATACCTGATGTTAAGAATGACTTTGCATTCCTTCTCCATATGGTTGATCAGTATGATCTGTTGTATTCAAAGCGCTTTGGGGTTTTTCTGTCAGAGGTGAGTGAGAACAAACTTCGAGAGATCAGCCTTAACCACGAGTGGACCTTTGAGAAGTTACGGCAGCATGTGACCCGTAATCCTCAAGATAAATTGGAGCTTCACCTTTTCATGCTGTCTGGTGTGCCGGATGCTGTGTTTGAGCTTACAGACTTGGAAATTCTTAAATTGGAGTTGATTCCAGAGGCCAAGATAACAGCTAAGATTTCCCAAATGATCAACCTTCAGGAGTTGCACTTTTACCACTGTCCAGCCAAAGTCGAGCAGACTGCTTTTATTTTCCTTTGTGATCACCTCCGGTGCCTTCATGTAAAGTTCACAGATGTTGCTGAGATTCCCAGCTGGGTTTACCTGTTGAAAAACTTGCAGGAGCTGTATTTGATCGGCAATCTGAACTCGGAGAACAACAAACTGATCGGACTTGAGTCTCTGCGAGATCTTCGACATTTGAAGATTTTGCAGCTCAAGAGCAACCTGACAAAGATCCCAACAAACATCACCGACCTCTCTCCTCACCTGGTTAGATTGGTTATTCACAATGATGGCACCAAGCTTTTAGTGCTGAATAGTTTGAAGAAAATTGTTAACCTTGCAGAGCTGGAGTTACATAACTGTGAGCTAGAGCGCATACCTCATGCCATCTTCAGTCTAAACAACCTTCAGGAACTTGATCTAAAATCAAACAACATCCGCACCATCGAAGAGGTCATCAGCTTCCAGCACCTCAAGAGACTAACTTGTCTCAAACTGTGGTACAACAAAATCATCAGTATTCCAATGTCAATCAGTCATGTGAAAAACCTGGAGTCCCTCTATCTCTCACACAACAAGCTAGACTCCCTTCCCTCACCATTATTCACTCTCCTCAAGCTGAGGTACCTCGATCTTAGTCATAACTCTGTAGCTGTAATCCCTCCAGAAGTGGGCTTCCTCCAGAACCTCCAACATTTTGCCATCACAGGCAACAAGGTTGAGGTAGTCCCAAAGCAGCTGTTTAAGTGTGTCAAGCTAAGGACATTATGTCTCGGACAAAACTGCATCACCTCCATCCCAGAGAAAATTGGCCATCTCTCGCAGCTCACGCATCTGGAGTTGAAGGGAAACTGTCTTGACCGTCTCCCAGTTCAGCTTGGTCACTGCAGCCTCCTACGCAGGAGCTGTCTGTTTGTGGAGGACCACCTCTTTGATTCCCTTCCTATGGAGGTCAAAGAGAGCATAAATCAGGAAGCTAGTGTCTCCTTTGCAAATGGGTGTAAATGTTTAATGGAAGGTCGGTAGTTTAATGGTATTATATGCCATTGCCATTATTACGTAGTTATTGTTTTCAGCACACAAAATTAACTGTAGTTTAAGGCCTGGTTTATATTTAGAAACCAAGTCATCTGTGTGTGTCGCAATTTACGCCCCTTTCCGCAGACTCTTGTGCACCTCCCCAAAATTGTAGGTGACCGCAGAGAGTGCCGCAGACTCTGATTGGTCAATTCTACATCCGCTCTGCACTATGTTTCTGTTTGGTACCTAATGGCAGAAACTCTGGCTGTAGTGCTTTCTAAAACACGTGGCACACCTCGGACACTATCCCAAACACCTTGCAGGACGCTAGTTTGTAGCTCTGTGTGAAGGTCTGTTGGTTTGCACCCGAAGCAGAAACACGCAGCGCCGCAGCCAGTCTTTCGGGAACATTAACAGGTGAACTGTGTGTCGTCCGACGTTGGATGAGGGGTTGTAGACGGTGAACAAGTTCATCAAACCGACACACAGACACCCACAATCCTAGCTAGTTCATGATTGTGCAAGAGGGACAATCATGAACAAGAGGGACAATCATGACCTAGCTAGGATTGTGGTTATCTGTGTGTCGTCCGACGTTGGATGAGCTGTTGAAGACGGTGAACAAGTTCATCAAACCCACACACAGACACCCACAATCCTACCTAGTTCGTGATTGTCCCACTTGCGTTGTGGCGAGGAATAAAAGGGCAGACCACGCCTCAAAATTGGGCATAAATCAAAAATAATTGCATCATACCTGCGACAAGCTAACTGCGACACACTGCTGCGGGAGGATAACCAGCCCTTAAAACTTGAGAGCACTCTACACACAACCCAAAGCCTATAAATGTGGTGTTAGGAAGAACGTTTAGTAAAAAAGTGGCAATATTATTGCCTGTCTGAACTTTGAATATATTTTTGATTTATTTTTGTACTTAGATCGTGTGAAAATATATTGGGAGTTGAAGCACTTTTATTTTCTGTTTGCATGATAGTACATTTAGGAATCTCTATAACCATAACATAACTCACTTAATAATTTTGATTTTTACCGAGATTTTTTTGATTAGTTAAACTAGTTTCCCCATTTGTTCCCTTTTCTTCAGTTAGGATGTCAAATTTCAGTGAATACCACATGCTTTGAAGGTACCTCGATGTTTTCCAGCTTTTCTAACTTGCTAAAAATGGCTTTCAGGTCAACATACCTCAGTCTTCGTAAATATTACCCGTCTTCCCAAGATGCCATAAAGAATTAGTTTTGACTCGCATATCTCTTGTTTTTTTTAAGTTTAATTTCTGACTAATATTTAACTGACCTCTCCACTGTTGGCTTCACCACTTTTAGACTAAAACAGGTAACTAAACCAGGTTAACAGTCATCCAAGGGAGACTTTATTGAAAAACAGTGTTGCTTTTTGAATTTTGGGGAATACAATAAACCAACTGTTGAGGGTAATTTTCATGCACTTTTTTACATTATATGTAACTGCCTGTTCCAAAAAGTATTGTAAGATAAAACTAAAACTTTATGCATGGTTCAAAAGACAACCGACAGCCAGTTAGTACCAACCTTTCTGTTCTCTCAGCAAAGTATCTTTGACAAGATTGTCTTTCAGCACCTCACACATTATTCATACCCCTTAAGCTTGATTCCCTTTAAAACTAAAAATTTCAATGTGTTTTGTATTATCAGATTCTTTAAAGGCAGACAGGCACAAAGTAGTTCAAAGTGAAAAGAAACTTACGCATGATTCTCAAAGTGTTATATTAATTTGAAACTGAAATATGCTGCATGCGTTTATACCCCCCCCAACGCTTACTCTTTTACAAATAAAATAAAACTGGAGCAACAGATTACCTGCGACACTTGAATAGAGTCGATTTGTGTGTGATTTATTCTTACACACTCTCTGGGAAATAAAAATACGACATAAAAAAGGGAAAAACTAAAGTCAGACCAGACTAAACACACAAAACAACAATATCTCATAAAGTACTGATTAAGCTAACATTTTAGAATGGAGAAACAAGGAATAATCTGTTAAGTTCACCTAAACTCAAATAATAAACAATATAAACAAGCTCGAGCCCCACAGTAATTCAATTCAATTCAGTTTATTTATATAGCGCCAAATTCACAACATATGTCATCTCAAGGCACTTTACAGTTCAACCAGATCATACAGTCAAATTGATACAAAGTTTTCTATCTAAGGAAAACCAGTTGATTGCATTGACTCATTGACTCAAATACAATCCCCCACACTAAGCATGCTTGTAGCGACAGTGGAGAGGAAAAACTCCCTTTTAAAAGGAAGAAACCTCCAGCAGAACCAGGCTCAGTGTGAGCGGCCATCTGCCGAGGCCGACTGGGGTTCAAGGAGACAGAAGCAGAGATACAAAAAGCAGCTGTAAAAGGCGGCCCCGTCCAGGAAACACACAGCCAGGCAGACGAGCTCCAAGGCAGCTCCCATGCCAGAGGACGAAGAGAGCACATCCACTCAGTCACGGTCAGAGAAACAGGACCACACTGGAAAACAGGCCGATCTCCAACATCTATTAACAAGGGTGTTGATAGAAGCAGCACAGCTGATGTTTTTTTCCAGGATGACGTCACAGCCAAACAGGAACAGACGAGGCAAAGCTACTCTGAGGAAAAGCAGAGAGAGCAGAAGGTTAGAGATTGAACTAACAGATTCTGCAGAATAGGAGAACAGAGAGAGAATGAAGCAGAATGATGAAATGGGGGTCCCTATGTCCTCCAAAAGTCTAAGCCTATAGCAGCATAACTATAGAGATAGCTCAGGATAACCTGAGCCACCCTAACTATAAGCTTTATCAAAAATGAAAGTTTTAAGCCTAGCCTTAAAAGTAGACAGGGTGTCTGCCTCACGGACTAAAACTGGTAGTTGGTTCCACAGGAGAGGAGCCTGATAACTAAAAGATCTGCCTCCCATTCTACTTTTAGAAATTCTAGGAACCACTAGTAAACCTGCAGATTGAGAGCGAAGTGCTCTGTTAGGAACATAAGGAACAATCAGATCTCTGATATAAGATGGAGCTTGGCCATTTAAGGCTTTATATGTGAGAAGGAGGATTTTAAATTCTATTCTGGATTTAACAGGAAGCCAATGAAGAGAAGCCAGGATAGGAGAGATATGATCTCTCTTTTTCATTTTCATTAGAACTCTGGCTGCAGCATTTTGGATCAGCTGAAGGCTTTTAACTACAGTTTGTGGACTTCCTGATAGTAAAGAATTACAATAGTCCAGCCTTGAAGTAACAAATGCATGGACTAGTTTCTCAGCATCACCCCTGGACAGGATATTTCTAATTTTTGCAATGTTCCTCAGATGAAAGAAGGAAATTCTAGAAACCTCTTTGATATGGGATTTAAATGACAGGTCCTGATCAAAAATAACACCAAGATTTTTTACTTTATTATCTGAAATCAGTTTAATCCCATCCAAATGAAGTGACTGACTAATCAGCTTCTTTTTCAGAGACTCTGGTCCAAACACTATAACTTCTGTTTTGTCTGCATTCAGAAGCAGAAAATTAAGAGTCATCCAGGTTTTTATGTCTTCAAGACATGCCTGTAATCTATGTAATGGGTTAGCTTCATCTGGATTTATAGACAGATATAGCTGGGTATCATCAGCATAACAGTGGAAATTAATTCCATGCTGTCTAATAATTCTACCAATTGGGAGCATGTATAAAGTAAAGAGAATTGGTCCTAGCACTGATCCCTGTGGTACTCCACAGGTAACCTTTGAGCGTGTTGAAGATCTATCATTAACATGAACAAACTGAATTCGATCAGATAGATAAGATTTAAACCAGTCTAGTGCTGTTCCTTTAATTCCAACACAATATTCAAGTCTTTCTAAAAGAATATTATGGTCAACTGTATCAAATGCAGCACTAAGATCCAACAGGACGAGCACAGATACAAGTCCATTATCTGAGGCCATGAGAATATCATTAGTGACTTTCACCAGAGCTGTTTCAGTGCTATGATGAGCTCTAAAGCCAGACTGAAACTCTTCAAAAAGTTCATTATGGTGGAAGTGATCGCAAACTTGTTTGGCAACTACTTTCTCAAGAATTTTGGATAAGAAAGGAAGATTGGATATAGGTCTATAATTGACCAAGTCATCTGGGTCAAGAGACGGTTTCTTAAGCAGAGGTTTAATTACAGCAATCTTAAAAGCTTTAGGTACATATCCCTGTAACAGAGATAGATTAATCACATCTAAAATGGAGGAGGAGATCAAAGGGAATACCTCCTTAAATAACCTGGTTGGAACTGGATCTAACATACAAGTTGAAGGCTTAGATGAAGACAATAATTTTGCTAATTCAGAGAGTTCAACTGGATCAAAGCAGTCTAAACCCGGTTCAGATTCCATGACTACCTCAGGTACAATCGCGGATAGAGGAGTGCTTATGATCTTATTTTTAATAAGATCAATCTTATTTATAAAGAATCCCATAAAATCATTGCTGCTAAGAGCAGGTGGAATGGACGGTTCAACAGAGCTATGGCTCTGGGTGAGTTTGGCAACTGTATTAAAAAGAAATCTAGGATTATTCTTATTCTCCTCTATTAATGAGGAGAAGTTTGCTGCTCTTGCTTTACAAAGGGTCCTCTTATACAGCAGTAAACCATTTTTCCAGACTAGGAAGGACTCTCGCAGGCCTGCGGAGCGATATTTTCTCTCCAGTTTCCTAGCATTTTGCTTCAAAGTACGCAGCTCTGCATTAAACCAAGGAGCAAGCTTTCTATTTTTAACGGTTTTCATTTTCAAAGGAGCTGCGTTGTCTAAGGCAATACGCAGAGAACTAGCAACCCCATCAACAAAATCATCAACCTGTGAAGGGGAATAAGCTAAGCTTTTGCACTCTGCAGCACTGCTCAGTGACACAGAGCAGAGAGAAAGTGAAGCAGATTCTTTAAAATTTATAACTGCACTATCTGATAAAGATCTACTAAAATTGAACCTTCTTTTGGGGGAGGAGAACTCTGTTAAAGTAATCCTGAAGGTTATTAGAAAGTGGTCAGAGAGGACAGGGTTGTGAGGAAATACTGTTATTTATTCACATTCTATGCCGTATGTCAGCACAAGATCCAAAGTATGAAGATGAGAATGCGTGGGACTATTCACATTTTGAACAAAGCCAAT